TATTTTCCTGTATGCTACATATTTTATAGCTATATTTATTCTAGTTGTTATGTAGTTTAATGTAGTTGCTTGTCTTATTTTTGGGTGAGGTAAAAGAGCTTACTTTTTTTCCCCCAACTCCTGAGTGGGAGCTGTCATTCTGTTCGTAGTATTCTTGAACAGTTTAGGCTGGAAGAAATCTAGTATGATGCCAGGCTCAGAGGAGGGATTAGCTCTGGATTTAGGTTGCAGGGCATGTGATTGAATAAACTGAACCGAGATATTGTAATTTTTGGATCTTACAAGTAGATCTTAATGGATAAATAAAAGAGAGAAAGGTGACAAGAGGGCTGGGTAGAAGGCTTCTATTACTTCAACTCTGCTGGCAGTTTAACTTCTAGTAAGCTATTCATTGGAATGAAATAGATTATTCTGAGGAAATTAGAAATAATGCACAATCAGAAATATCCCATAAATGCTAATTTTGACTGCCAGGCTAGCAATTTTAACCACTTGTATGATTTGACTTTAAAATATAGGTCTCTTACGCAAAAGTGCAATTTTGTGCAAGGTTTAAAGTCTTAAGCCAGTTTCTTCTCTATTCTTGTCTGGGAGAAGCCTTTGGAAATTTTCTTTTCTAGAAAGAGCTTTATGAAATAAACCACTCTTGAAAGGAGTAATGAATTCTAGGAAGGGTTACAGAAAGTCATACCTGTTTTGACAAAGTCTGCTAGGGAATAGAATGCAGTTTCCATGTTAATGAAAACAGGTGAGGATCAATAGCACTGTGAATTTTGCTCTAAATACACAATCTATATAAAGTGCTAATTAAGTTACTGATTTTAATGTATAAGTTTAAGTTTATGAGTCAAGTGTTCTTTTTTGATTAGTCAATTTTTGATGCTGTGTCTTGGTGTTATTTTGGTCACCATTCTTTAGCTGAAAGGTGAGTGAATAGTCATATGTTAATGGGGAAGCAAATCTCCTGTCCACAAACACTTTGAAGGAGACTATGATCTGTTATCTTAGTATTTCTGTTGCTGCCTTGCTTTCTGCTGGTCTAGGATATTGCATGCCATATTTATTCCATAATTTTCTTGAGAAAAGCAGGAGTTCTTGCAGGATGTTGCATCATTTGGGGACAAGATATTTAATTTTTGTTGGGCTGCTGCAATTGCATGGCCTGCTTCTGGGAGTACCAAGTAGTACTGGTTTGTCAGTTAAGAAACCACCAACTTTTATGGCTATTTGTATTTTTATTTTCAGTATGACAAGCGAATTGCATCTCATATATTCTCCAATATCATTTCTTAAGTGTCTTTTCAAACCCCTTAGTTTCATGGTTTTATAGACTTATATCCCAATGTATGTAGAAACCCCCCATATTTAAAAAAAAACTCAGAAGAATTATCTTGGTGGTTCTCTGTATACTTAGACTATTGGTATCAATAGTGATTAAGGTGTAAGAACACTGTGCATGATATATTGCAAATGCTCAAGAAATCTTGTTTCTAATACCTGTGAAAAATGTACAATATATATGTAATTTGAAAACTGTTTTTAATGTTTGTATGTAGATTACTTTTTACAGTTGATGTTAAAATGAGTTGGAATTGTGAGGCAATCTAGTTTTTAATGTAATTAACAAGTATAATGCAATAATTGCCATCATAACAGTTTTTCTAAAAGCAGAGTACTCTCATCAGTCAGACCTTCTTGAGGGTTGTTTGCATTAGTGAGCTTTCTTTTGACATGTGTTAGACAATTTGCCTTTTACAAAAGTATATTATTCTTTATTTGCTTCTCTCTTTTTTGGTTTGGGTTTGTTTGCAAGTTGGGTTGTGTTTTGGGTTTTTTTTTCATCTCGCAAAGGTTAAATTACACTTTGCTACACATTCTTTATCTGATGGCTTTTTGTTTACCAATGTCCATATCATCACTTTTCTTATTCTCTTTCAGTTTAAGTTGTGTTCCCAGGTACCAGGTAACTTCAGAGCTATTAAGTGCCTCCCCACATTTCTCTAGTATAAGTTTAGTCCTCTCCTGCTGCTCAGCTTATCCCTGTTATAGGTAGTTATGAGTGGCTTCAGGGAAAGGGCTGAAAAAAGGCTGCTACTCAACAGAAGAATGCGCAGTCGCATAGTGAGGGAAAAGAAACACGGAAGATAATGCTATCATTGTTACCTTCTGCAAAGGGCTTTAGTATCCAAGCTCTCAGGTGGGCTGGAATATTAACCAGCATTGGTTCAGCTACTCTGTCCTAATTGTTGGTATTCCTTCCTCTGTCATATTGTGGTTAATGCCCATGGAATAGTTGACCTAACCTACCTGCCACAACTTGTTTATGCTCACATAATAAATAGCTATCTAGGACATGATTTGTGTGGGTATAGGACTGAATTTTTGTGGTTATCTGGACTCCTGCAAATACAGGTTTTGGCAAATTATCCAAAGATGTGTTTTTATAGTTAATATGTCACGCATTTAGTTACATTAATAATATATGTTGTCAATTAACATTTGAAATTGAGTATTTTAATTCCATGTTAACAGTATAGAAGAATTTCCCTATGCTGAAAATTCAAGGAACATGATAAGTTGTGAACATGCAGCAGTAGGAATAATAGTAATTCTTGCAGGCACGTTAATAGATAAAGGGCAGCAGAGATTGTAAGGTGTTTTTGTGGATCGTGACTCTATAGCTGAAATGTTTTTTATATGGTAATGATTCAACACCAAAGTTAAAGCTACAAAATAGTGAATAATTACTTTGGGTTTTGTAACAAATGTTTGACTAGACTAAAAAAGTAAAAATTGCAGGTTTTACCCCTCACTCTTGTTACACCTACTGTTAATTGAAGACTGATAGCATTTCAAGATGAGTAAAAACCTGGTTTATTGCTTTTTTCTAAAAAAGTACATGTTATAGCTTGACAATGCTTCTATCCTTTGCAAAGAAAATGAGTTGAGTTCTAGTAACTAGTACAGCTTCATAGCTCTCTACTTGAAATCCTTGTCCAGGTGCTGTTGTACTTGGCCCTGCCTTATATAGCACATTTGATACTTAAAAAAAGCCAACAAACTCCAACTTGTAGTTGAACCTGAGATGCATCTAGTACGTTATGTGCAGTAATTTAAAATCTGGTACTTCCCCTTGTTAGCTGAAGAGTATCTCATAGCCGTTTGTGGCATGTCCTCATTTCACATATGCACATGTATGCATGCACAGTCTCAGTAATGTAAACTTACTGCCACAGTGTTTTTCTACCATGTTGGATTAGGGATTGACATTAGAGATGAAACACTACTTTTCCTTCTGCGTCTTCATGTCAGGACTGAAGTAAAAGCAGGCGATACCAACAAAGTTGTATGCTGATTTTGTGACTTAACTCATTGGTATCAATTTGTGGCTATGATTGATCCTACTAGGGCTGCTGATTTTACTTAAAATGTCTGTTGGCATTACTGTGAAAGGTCTGACAAAGTAGTTGCATGTTCATTTATAAAGTTTTAACATGGCTTCTAGGGTCAGAAGAAGAGGTCCTTCTTAATGTTTATCAACAGCCTTTCATAGCTGGACCTTAAAACCTATCTGTGTCTTTCAGTTATGAGGCCTTATTTTTCTGCTCCACACTAAGCCATATTCTTTTGACAATAATGTATAATCTTTAAGTACATTTTCTAGGTAAATATTAATTACTAGAAACACAGTTACTGACCTGAACCTTTTGTTGTGTATCATAAGAGAATTTCCTATTCCAGGATATTTTACAAAGGTATTTGCTCTGTCAAATATTGGTGCCTGCTACTTTAAGTGTGTGAAGATAGATACTTTAAGTGTGTGAACATGACTGAATGAAAAGGAGTTTGTGAAACTGTAAAAATACCATGAATGTGTTTTGATTAATATTTCTGTTTAAAGGTTGCTTATACACAGTTGCCTAGTACATGGAATTATTTTCAGAGCACATCTGAACTACTAATACTCTTAAATCATAAGTGCAGTAATTTTCAGAATCAGGTAATTTTTTTGGATATGCTTATTCTCGACACGTGTGTTCAATTGAGTGGAATATACTTTTAACGTTCTTGCAGAAAATGAGAATTTTGCTGTAAGTTTCATTAGTTTTCATTTTGAACTGGGAATTTGTTTCTATTTCATCCTTCCAATGTAAACTGGAATACTAAAATACCTTGAAATTATATGTGATAGTGTACTTTGTTTTCCCCTAAATAATGATTTTTGCTACCCTGGGTACTGCCTTTTCCGTATTGTTTCACAACAGGCCGTGGTTCACGGTCAGTAATGGCAGGACTCTCTTGCTGTTGGATGACTGGGCATCAAATGAATTTGGCATGTTACTTACCTGTGTAGTATAAATGCATGTTATAGAGTTTATGTTGATACTACATTTTTATTCTGGTTTAAAAAGAATGGTCAGTATCTGAGCTAATGTATCAATAGCATGATAAAACTCAACAAAAAATGTACTTGCCACCAAGTCAAGTTAAAACTATTTGAACAAAGATAACTGGCAGATTGAATTTAAATACTGTAATTTAACACATCAGAGCTTGGTTTCCAATCAATAAAAGCATTTTTGAGTTGTGAAACCAAACTGACTATTATTGAACCACGGCCTTTAGGTAATACCGTAATAAAAACTCTTTGTTTACAGTTAAAAGGTACATATTCTTCTTATTAATGAAAAATACTGCGTGAAGATGAATTCATTTGCAGTTGATCACATAACTGTTTAGGAGCTTTAGACTGCTGTGTCTGATTAATGAAACTTGTGGTATTTAACCTTTAACATTATGCAAAAGTGTACATCAATGCTATATTGAACTTACTCCATTTCATCTTATAAAAACAGAGTATAGTTAACTTTATTCCTTGTACATTTTTGTAATCGATGGAAACTTTTGAAACTTGAATTTTTTTTATTTTCATGGAGTAAATAGGAATGTTTTAAGTTCTAAGAATGACAGGTTGACATGAAAACTATGTTTACTTTCAGAGAGAACAGGAAATGAGAATGGGTGATATGGGTCCTCGTGGAGCAATAAACATGGGAGGTAGGGATCTGAAGGAAAAAGGCTTCTGTAACATAAAATTTCTTTTTCTTTGGGACTGTACATGCTACTCAAGCACTACTAATTAGTGACAAGTACTAGTAAAAAGGACTAAACAGTATTAGGAAATTAAAAAAATCACATACTTTGCTTCCAAATAGCTGCGTTTTTTTTCTCCCCAAGGTGTATCTTCAACTACCTGTGGGAGAAAAATACGATGTGCAACTTGAGAATCAAAAGGGCAGGGAAAGGTGATACTCTGGAAATTATCTGATAGAAATTGACTGATCTGTTCAGAAAGTATTTGGTGGTCTTTTGGTGGACAGCCTATTCAGAGAAGTTGGGACTGTAATTACATGCAATGAAATGATGCAGAGCTCAAAATTGGTAAGCTTTTGTTAACGTATCTGACAAAAGCTTAATGAATAATGTGGTTGATGTTCTACTAATCTATGCAAATCTGTATTTGCAAATATCCTCAGTTCACCTTTGTGACTTAAAATACTGTCACTGCTAAAAACTTACTGTGAAGTCTAGAAAAGTACATTCTTAATAGTTAGTGCTTGCTTTATCTATGCAGACTGAAACAGTGTGGAATCTTGCTTATCCAGAATATCTGCTTTTAAACAAGAGTGAAACTTAGAATATTTATTTAAAAACCCAGATCTTAATAAACTGTATTTAACTGTCATATATTCTCTTGGAAGCTTCCTGATGTTAATTTGAAATAAATTAAGATGATAATTTAAAGAAAAGTTAATACTATTCTTGTGTAATTTAAATTTGAAAGTACATACAAAACTTGGTAAATGTTGTTGCTTGACCTTTTGAGTAATGTGCATTTATAGATAAGTGAATCTGGTGCAGATACTAAAATACATAATTTGCCATTTCCTTGCATTTATTGAGGCACATTTATCACTGTAAAATAGAACTAGGCTTTTTTTTTCCCCTCAGTGAAAAGAGCTTTAAAAATAACTCTAAAGAGTGAAGTTAACTACAAATAATAAGCTGAAGCATAAATTTGGACTAATTTTTTTTTATAGTTGTACTTCTGCAGATTGCGATCTACTTGAAAATTCCATTTAATTAGGTGACTTCGTAAATACTGATGCTGAAGTCCAGATCTCTGTTTGTCCACATCCACCAGATAGACTTTTTACATACAGATTGTAAATGTGCATGTGTATTTATCATTTCACAGCCATTTTCTTCTCAGGTTTTAATGCTTAACAGTGATGTTCATAGTTTTGCTATGTGAATTTTGTGCTATGATTTGATTTTAAACTTCATACAAATGCTCTTAGAAGTAAATGTGTAGTTCCAAAAGAAGTCGTAATGACAGTGAACTACTATTTTAAAAAGGAAAAAATATCCCTGGCAAATAGGTAAAAAGATAGTGTTTGTTTCCATGGTATCTGAATTTTAGGTTAGATCACTGTAGAGACTTTTTTCTCCAGCACATTAACAACCTCACTGCTACAACCAAAAATCCTGACCTCAAAAAAATCTTCAATAGGCCTTTAAATAGTAGCCCTTTAATTGTTGATCTTAGCATCCTTTCTCAACATTTCTGTTGAAATTGTAACTTTATTTTTAACTGGCATTTATCTGTGCCATCTGTGACTTTTCATCATGTGGGGCAGTGGGGAGTCGTACTATCTTCAGTAATGGACATACCTTCAGGATAGTGTCACTAGAAAGCAAGGTACCCCTGTGATGGATTTAATTGGTGTTGGTCTGACTTGTGCAGGACCAGTAATTTTACATTGTTTTTTGCAGCAAACAAGTTCTGAATGAATAGGTATGTCTTGGTGTAGCATTTAACTGGATCTGTAATGCTAAGTGCTGCTCATAAACTTTACCATATGGAAAAAGAAAGGAATTTTATAAGTATCTCTCCATTAATGAGGATTAATTATGGCTTGTTGCCAGCTGTGCTAGACCTTGGCATGTGAGGTTCAGATGGAGTGTACTTTTTCAGCCCTTCAGATTGCAGAAAAAGATCTTTTCCTAATGTCTGTGCCATTGTGGCTTGAGCACTGCTGACTGCTTTCCATCTGTTGCTGAACCTGGTCTAGTGAATTAACTGGTAGCATCAGTGTCCTACCAAAAAGAACAATCAAGTGATTAGCTCATAGGGTTTGCTTTGGAGCTGGGAGAACCTCAGAGGTATAGCTAAAGTGCCATAGTAGCCTCTTGCTGACACCACGCAGGGCCCCACTCTGTCCTTGCGTTACACTCCCTAGTTGTCCTGTCAGAGCTGACTCTGCCTGAAACTGGCTTAATACTATAGAGGCTTGGTAGTACAGGTCAGTATACATCACACTGGAAGCAATATGGGTGTTTTTGTGTGATACAGAGGATAAAACTTTGCTGCAGTTGAAGGATAAATGAACACTACCTATGTGTGGCCAGCTGTCTGAGTTTAATTAGGCTGGAAAGCAAGCCAGTGACATGTAATTGAGCAGACTGCTTTTAATTAATGGCAGTACTACCAGCACTAATCACTACCATCATGATAGTCCTGCAGAGTACTTCTAGCCTGTGAAAACAAAGGTTTAGCCTTATATTGGAAGTTTAAATGTCTCCTTTTCCTTCTATATTTAGTCACTGAATGAATGATGCTAAAAATCAGTTTTAGGGCATATTTAACCGTAATTCTCTTGAATTGTAGCATAATCTTCTACCTGCTACATTAACATGCTTGTGGGTAGGTCAGGACCATCCGACTCATATATACTTCTGTTTTGGCTTAGTGTCATAGAGAGAGGTCCTGGAGTTTCTCATTATTAAGATCAAATGAGTTCTGCATTTCAAAATGACAGGATTTTTCTCTGTTGCTTCTAATAATCTTGTTTAGCACTTTACATGTGCTACTGTGTTGCATGGATTGCTTTTGCTAAGCAGCTTGCAGTTGGCACAATATATACGATCCAGCTGAGGTCAGCAATTTTAGCAGCAGTATCTTGGGTGCAGTGTTTTCACTGACTGCTGTGATACTTGTACTCGGGCCAAGTGATAAAGATGCAGGTTTGCATACCTGGAGATAGTAATAATACTGTATCTGTGGTAAATGGCCTGCTTACAATGATTAACGTTTATGTATTTGTTACTAAAGAAGTTACAGTTGCGAAGAGAGGTGAGATGCTGACTTCTGAAATAAAAATTAACAAGTTTATTAGACTAGCAACATGTCACATTTCTTGTTATTTTTGTATGTTGTCATGACTTAAAATGTAGGCTGGATTCTGGAGGCATATAATTTTCCATTATGAAATTTTGGATGCACACAAACTTTAGATGCTGAGAAGGGTGGATTATTGTTGGGGGCAGGGGGAAACAACGATGCATCACCACCAGTCTTAAAGTTGATTATATTTCTTACATCTTTAAGCAGATGTAGACAATATATATAATGAGATTTTTTTATTTTTTAACATGAGAAAATGCTGTGAAGGCAATTTTACCTATCTGTTGAGTATATTAATGGGTACTGGCAGAGTGGTGTTTCCTAGCACAGTGTTATAATTATCATATAAATGATCTCCTCAAAAGGTGTTTTTAAGCTTTTTTTTTTTGTACCTCTTATTGTGAATCAGAATTTTGGAGGAGACTGTTCTGTCACTTTCAATTATAACAAAAATTCCCTGGTACTTTAACATTTATAAATTACATTTAAATGCAAGATTTATTTATGCTATTAAAAAAAAAGTAGAGTATCATCTCTGGTGTTGCTTTTAGACCTTAGACTAATGTAATACAACTACATACAGTTACCATAATACTGGTATGTTATGATCCCTAAAGAGCCAAGTTGCCTTATAGCTGCCAATTACTGCAAAATCACTTGAGATTTTTGCTTGTTTGTGGTGTATATACTGCATATATATCCTATATGAACACTTCAGTTCCTGCACAGAAGTGGTACAGCTATGTTTAGCTATAAGGTTCAGGATTCTCAAATACATGAGGAAGATAATGTAACTAAAAATAATAGGGATTAATGAAAATCTGTTTAAAAGCAGATGATTGAGATAAATGTACAGTCTCAAAGAATATTTATTATTTCAAGTATTGGAAGTCTTGTACATTTGGGTTTTTAAAATATTATAAATTGTTTGTTTATTCTTGTAAAATTCAGATAGGACAGCTCTAAGTATAGATTGTTTTGCATAGATGCGTTTAGCCCAGCACCTGCTGGTAACCAAGGCCCTCCTCCAATGATGGGTATGAATATGAACAACAGAGGAACTTTACCTGGCCCTGCAATGGGTCCTGGTCCTTCCATGGGACCAGAAGGAGCTGCAAATATGGGAACACCAATGATGCCAGATAATGGAACAGTGGTAACGTATCACTAATTTAATTACTTTGAATAGCTGTCATGTCTCATGGCCCATTTTTGTTACCAAAGATATTTTCACACTGAGTAAGAACATGTTACGTATTTTGAAACTGTTAAAAGCACTTGGTAAAACTTGTTAATGCAAATGATTTACAACAGAGAAGGAAATCTTTATTTGATATTACTATGAAAATCCTACTTCCCTTGGGAATGAGGTGAATTCTTGGATCAGTAACAAGACTTTAAATTGAGGTTAGAATGTATAGCACACATAGGAAAACGTTGCCTGTATGACCTGTTACAAAAACTTACTCATAGAAGGAAATCACTTCTGTGAAATGAAGAAGGAATAACATATCAGAGGAGTGTGTAAATTTAGGCATTGGCTGTTTTCTGTGAAACTAGATTCTGTGTATTAGCTTTGTTGGGGTTTTTGATGAACAGTTCGATGTTGGAAGCTATGTAGTGTGAAGATATCTTTGTGTAAACTGTTTAATTTTTTAAAGCAACTTTAGTGGGTTTTGCATTTCCTTTCTAACACTGTTGAAAGCATGAGATTATGACAGTAATTATGCCACTTAGAAAATAAGTATGCCAACAGCTGTTAGGGATAACTGTCATATCAGTAGAGGAAAAACAGTATTGCCAAGGGTGGTAGGGAATGTCTTGTATAAATCTGGAATTTCTTATTAACAGCAGATAAGCCATTGGGATGCAGTTAAAGCATTAGCCATTTTTGCTCTGTTCTCACAGCCAGCACTTTTCCTAGCTGTAATGTCTTATGTAGAGAAACAACTGTATAATTTTTAATCTGATTTTTACACATTTTTCAGTATTATTCTGTAAATAGATATTTGGGATGTTCTAGTGGTGGTCTGATAAAAAGGAATATATAGTATAAACAGCATTTGCATTATAATTTTGTTGTAACACAAGCATTTTGTAGCTGTATTTTTTAATATATGCCTTTTCAACAGTATCCATCTGCTATTGAGCAATCTGTATAACAAAGTTTGGACAAAGCTCTTTGTTCCTTACAGGAAAATGAGATTTTGATTGAGCAAAAAATACGTAATGAGTCTGATCTTTACCAGTTGAAGGAGAAGATCTCACTTCACACCATGAGTGAGCTCATTTTATCAGTTGTGTCATTTCTCACAAAGCAGGTGGTAGGGGGGAATGCTTTTCACAAAATACTGTTTTCAGAGATGCTTTTTCTAGAGACTGCTGTGCACTAGTCTCCTGGAACATACTCTTGTGATTACATAGACACAGAAAAAGAGGTGTAAGGAAAAGGAACATGTTATCTTAAATCATGGTATCTATCTCAAACTGTTGTTTTTCTACAAAAAGTCATTCCAGGTATGGAAATGTAAGAAATACACTGACAATTCAAGATGCATGTTTAAATTTTTTTTTTAATACCATATTCTTCTGCATGTTACTGAGGGACAAATAAGATGTTTGGTTTGCATTAGTTTTTGGTTGTTTTTTTTTATTTTGTGGGGTTTTGTTTGGGAGGTTGCTTTTTGGTTGTTTGGGGTTTTTTGTTTGTTTTCAGTTTGGACTTTTGGATATCTTTAATTTGGGGAGCAGGCCCCTAGAGAAAGGCACATCAGAACTGTGTTTTTCCTGTTGTTGGAAAGACACTTTTAAGATCCCTTGAGGGCTGACTATTAAGTAAACACTGTAAGAGTTAACTTCAGTTTCCACTGAGGGAAATGGAGAATATGCTTTATAGACGAGAAACACAGTTTAAATTTTTTTAATTGGATGTTCTTCAGAAGTCTTTTAGGAGAAAGTTGGAGCAATCTTGGTTTTGTTCCACTGCAGTCTTTCGAAACATAGATCATCTTTGAAAATAACATTTGAAGAACAGCATTCCTCCTGCACCCCCCTTTTATTGTAGGTAAACAATAGGTAAACCACTGGGGAGAGGGGTCCTTGTTGGAAAGAGGACTTGAGTTTTTGTCCACAAGTCAAATGGTAAAAATTATTAGGAGTATGTCATAAGTTCCTATTTGCTGAAGTTCAGCTCCATTACTAACAAGCTGGCATGAGTTAGAGATAATATTTTAAATAATTTTTAACCAGTGCTGCAGGTTTTAAGGTACTCTGAGGCATTAGTAGATCTTTATGCAGCTGTTGAAGTAACATTTTTCGTATTCAAAGTCAACTTTTAAACATTGCACATATATACAACAATGATTTAAGTTGCATTTTTTTTTATCTATACAGATATAATGCTGTTTTAAAATTTTATATATATATGTATATATATATGTATATGAATTGGCAGACTCTAGAACTGTTGAAGTCTATTACTATTGCTGGAGTTAGACTTTCAGAAGAATTCTCTGATTCAGGCATATAAAGTGCTAGCGTTGAATGTTCTTTTTGAGCTCTGGATATGTGGGCAGTTAGTGTAGATATCTGTACAGAAGGAATTTCTTCTGAAAGCATAACTTGTCTTCAACCAGGTGAATGATGAATTATTTCAAGATGTGTTTGTACCATATATCAGTGCTTTTAGTGGTCGGTTTGTTGGGTCAATGTTTTAAATTTCATCATGTGGGGTTCTGTTTTTAAACACTTGCATAAATACAGAACTGTAAGTGCTCAGATGCATGTTTTCTGGTGTAGCTCTTAATTGCTATAGCCAAATACATGTGTGTAAGCACATACACCTTTATTGATATTAGGCACAGAACAAAGGAAACTAAATGTCAAACATGAACTGGATTTTCATCTTGTATTGATACCTCCGATTAAGCTTTAGATACATATCAATTTTTTTGAAAACTCAGCATAGTCCAGTTACACATTTTGTCACTAGTTGTGTCAGTTTATTTGGACTGAGTTTAAAAGTCTAACTGAAGATTCCTAAAATGCCATGCAAAAGGATGACTCTAGTATGGCTGGAAATACCCACAGGTATCTGGGTATTTATGTATTCAGGTTATATTGCTATTACAAGAATAAACGTGCAGTCTCTAGAAATTCCAAAAAATAAATACAAATGCTGGGTGGGGTGGTTTTTGTTTTGTTTTGGGTTTTTTGTTTGTTTGTGGGTTGTTTCTTTTTTTTCTTTTTGGTAGCTTGACAATGTTTCTGTGTCTTATTTATTTAAGGGGAAGTACTGTAGTTTGCATGAAAGGCAGAACAGGGCTCAGGTATTACGATTACTGTTTGCTGTCTCTTCTATTACATAGAGAATATATATTGCTTCAGATGTGCTTGGAAGAATGAAGTTACATTTGGCACCAGAGTTGGTCTTAAGTTTTTAAGTTTTTAATTTACTTTAAAAGTTGGAGCATAACATTAGCACTCTTTTAATTTCCAGCTCTATTTCCATAATAACTAATTGAATTGCTCCTTTCTTCCCTCTATGTGTGATCCTGATTCTGCTGGACTATCTGCTGAACATCATGACAACATCACTTGTGGTTTTTGTTGTAACTCACATTTGGCATGGTTCCAAATGGACTTGTGTTAGCATAATGAGAGATTCCCTCAAGGAGGTCCATCACAGATGGGTTCACCTCTGGTTAGTAGAACGGGCTCTGAAACTCCTCAGCCGCCAATGAGTGGTGTAGGTGCCGTGAGTGGTGGACCTGGTGGCTTTGGTAGAGGAAACCCAGGGGGCAACTTTGAAGGACCTAACAAGCGTCGCAGATACTAAAACTTACTTCATTCCTTACTGTTTAGAATTCCAGTAAAACTATACAGTGATATGCCTTTATAATTTTAGCTGTTATCTGGAAACGGTTTTATTGTTATTGTAGTCTTTAAAAAAAAACCCCAACGGTTTCTTTTGTAAAACTTTTTTTGTATTCAGTCATAGGCTTTGTAGTATAGAGCAGAAATGATGCGGATCATTATGTAAGGCAATGTGTTTGTTAGCAAAATACAATGTGTGACTATGCTGTAAAACGTGCAGTTATCTGATTGCAATAAAATATAAAAATCACTTGAAAGGATTTTGGGAATGTTATTACTAATACTGGGTGAGAATAACTTTGTGCTTAATTATAAGTGGCATCATTTTCATTCTTAGGTAGTTTCTACTATGTATCAAAGTTCTATTCTTAGTGAATCTGTTTAGCTAAACTGCATGTTGCAGTACATACCATGAACAATTTATAACACAACTGCTTTTGTTTGTTTTGACTTTTGAAGAGCATCAAATTTTATATGAAGTGTTTTCAAGGATACCATATCCTTTCATCTCAGTCTCCCTTTGCAAACTTAGTCACAAGAAGCTACTCAACGGAGTGTATCTGTTACCCAAATTACTAGAATAACTTAGGGGGGAAAAACACTTCGGAAAAGGAACCTGTATGTATGTTTTATTCATAACAGTATGAATGAATTTACCTAAACCATAGTTCTGCAGAAGAAAAACCGTTGTGACATCTCTGTATTCTGCTGATTGTTGCTTGCCATTGCAAGGAAGGAGATGTTTGTGCAAGCTGGTTTAAAGCCTTTCACTGTGTAATGCATCATTATAGGTATGTTTCCCCCAGTGTGGTTTGAATAGAAACAAGTCTGTTACCAATGATTTAACTGTTTAATTAGGAGGCAAATGTGTTGTCCAGTTAAAATAATTGTTCACTTATAGTAGAGTAATACGCATATAGAAGGCTTACACGAGTATTCTTGATATTTTACGGAATGCTGAATTTGAAAAATCCATTGCCAACAAGACTCTGGCTAGATTTGCTGATTGAGTCTTAAGATAAAGCTGATAAGGCTGTCAAGAAGCTTGTTACGATTCAGATTTTGTAAGTCATGGAAGATGATGGAAAAGACCTATTGGTTCTATTCCTGTATTGGCAAGAGAGTAGGGATATTTTTGGTTACTATTGCTTTTTTTTTCCTGTGCAAAATAGTTGTGAAATTAGTGTTCTGTTTTTATAAGTTCACTCATGTTCACTCAGAAATAGAAATTACTAAAATTCATATGCATGAGTTGTGACACTAAATTGATTAAAACTGATTTGAGATAACCTGGTGCCCTAGTTATATCAAAATAGTATGTACGTAGCTCAAAGCATGGGATGCAAGCAGCAGAGAGCATGTATGTGTTACTGCTTAATAAATATAGCAGTGGTGGTCTTGGTGAATTGAATTGTGAGCAAATGGGTGACAGTAAAATTGTGGCATTGCTGGCATTTTGGAAGTACTGTTATTTAAATTACCAGCATTCTACGGGTTTAAGAGATTCTTTTCATACAATTCAGGAGTTATCACCTATGTAGGTCCTCACTCAACATATGTAACTGCTAAGCGTTTTTGTCTAGCCTGTCTTTAATGTTGCCCTTTTTTGCTTGACTTGAAATACATGCCACACTTTATAACTTGTAATGCAGTAGTAAGGTTTGAAGGCTGAAATATGCTTTCCCATCTTTGATATGTATGTCATGTTATGGCACTTATTCTTCCAAAAAAAGTCCAACCCTGCAACTGGTTTTGCTTAACATACTTTTCCTAAAATTCCACACTTGGGAAAATTGCCTCCCCCCTCCCCCATTAGGTGTAAACTAGTGTTTGCATATAGCTACTACGCAAGGTTATTTTCACTTGAAAATGCAGTTTACATTGGTGTCTAGTAAGGTGTTTAAATATTAGATTACTTTTGTCTCAAATTTTCTGCCCTTTTTGAGGGGGATTGAGAAAGTACAGGTGTGGGTAATTTTAAGCTGTCAAGCTGTAAGGGGAACATGTTTGAAATATAACTTGGAACTAGATTCAAGAGGTTTCTTCATTTCTTCAAAGAAAAAGGCTGTGTCATTCAGGCCTTTTGGCTAACTCCTGTAATTTTGTTTAGGTATATACACCCTCATTCTTGTAATACGTGAGTGTGCTTCAGAAGTACATTAAACATACCAAACCTGCAAGAAGTGGTTCATTCTTTCTTTGCCAGCCTTATGCTATTGTAAGTACATGTTGCATTTTTGTTAGTATGTCTGTATTTGAAAGTTACTGTAGAGCTTAATAGTAGTATTTTTCATTCCACAGTTGTGAGCTACCCTGTAAAAACTCTGACTTGGCTCTGCTGCATAGTAGCAGTGGATTTGTCTGCTGTCCTTATTGCAGAAAATCACCTAGTATCTTTAAATATCCATGAACCCAGCTTTTAAGTCCTAAAATATAAATTCTGAAATACTGAATTTGGACACAGTTTCAAGATTCCCTGAAGAATGCCTTTTGTAGCTGATTACAGGCTGCCAAATTCTGCTCTTAATAAAAGCTTCCTTAGGGCTGCCTGGCCATATTGATTGTATACAGCTCAACTATAAAGGCAGTGACTTTTGTTTTGCCATAATTGGCAGTTAGCTGACTCTAGCTATGTGATAAACATATAATTTGGTTAAGAAAGGAATGGTCCCAGTTTGTTTCCTAAAAATGGTATATAGATGCAACCAGGCAGCATTTTTGCTTGAAGGTACTGCCCATGTGCTGGAAGGGATTAATTTTTCTTGTTCCTCATCTGGCCAATCAGTTCATCATTTTTTCTGTGTACACATGTACTGAAGTTTTTAATTGTCTGTGGTCTCTTTGACTAGAAAGCACAATAGATTTCTGACTCTTTCTGCTACATGCTGTGGGAAAACAAGCTTGGAAAGGATGTGACATTAACAACTACAATGCACTTAACTTTTGAGTGTGACTTTTGGTTGAACTTACTGAGGTTTTTACATTACTCCTGAAATGTCAGTCTAAACTGCTTGATTTTCATGTGAAATGCAATTTTAATACTTAAATATAGCAAAGCTTTACTATTACCCTTTTGAAGGGAGAATATGCTTTGAGGTGAGACATTCAGCAAATGACTGGTGTGCTTTGGTGGCATGAAGCTCACTTTACTTAAGCATGTTGTAGGAACTAAGTTTTTTGCAGACTTAATTTATAAATTTTTGTATAAAAGGTTGGATTGTAATTCTTCCCTTCTCAGTGACAAGTCAAAATAAACTGTAACTGAACCATTAAAACGGCAGGGAATGCTCCGTAGCAACTGGTGGAGTCAGTTTACATCGGACTGCAAATGTGAAAGGATTCTCAATCCCATTCCTGAGGCTTGAAGTGGTGTGTGTCCATACGTGGCTTTACAGAGTCTGCATCCAGCATCTCTTAGTAGCTTGTGCGTGGGGCCGAGACTGGAAACTTGAGAGCACATGTTTCAAATGCAATTTGGTTGTCTTTGCAGGAGCCCTGAATTTATTAATTTGGGCATTGTGCTGTCATTCAGATGCAGAACCATCTTTGGCATTTGGTGCTTTCAAATTTTGGGCTGTTGGCTCACTTCGAACACAAGGGAATATCACTCCAGTCTTCCCTGATTCTTGAATAGTGAGGAGAGAGTGAGTGTGGCCTATGAAAAATAGAGGTTGGACATTAGCGGCAAACATTGGACGGAATTACCTCCCAAAAATTTGCTTTCTTAAAAATTAATTTAATGAAATGTGATAACTTAATAAGAGTAGAAGGAGGATTGACTAAAAACTTGCAGTACCTGGTGTCAGGTATGATTTTTCCCATTGGATTGGCTTTTTGTTGCCCTTTAGTCTTAGTAGCTGGTCTCACCAGTTTGGCATTTTGCTGTTATGAAGAAATCTGTGGTGTTGTTTCGGGGGTTTCCTGCATAAAATATTTGAAATTCATAGCTGTAGGTATTTCAGGTTTTTATGGTAATCCATGAAATAGTGAAGTTTATAAAAATTAAGTTACTCATTTCCAAAATGTTAGTTGTAGAATAGATAAACTGAATATTACATTTTCATTAAAACAATACTTCAGGTTATTTAATATGTGTGGAAACAAACCCTCAATGTGTTCATTTTCAATGGGATAGATTTAATAGGTCTTTTCCATCTTGAACTTCCTTAAATTGAAATTTGGAGGTATTCATATTAATGACCTCAGTCTGTCTTCTAAAAGCAGGAAGGGATGGGTTTCTTCAGAAAAGCATTTTAGAACAGCAACCATTCCTTCCTAATTGAAGGAACAATTCAGAAAAGTTTGAAGTTCACAGATAAGCATGGCATACTTACAGGTAAAACCATTAAAAAAATGCTTTCATATAGTGATTATTTTATACCTAAATCACATTAAAAGAAACCAAAACCACATCTTTGTAAATGTGGGTAAGAACTAACTGATTTGAATGGATTCTCCCAAATAGAGGACAAAATGCTCGTAATAAGAGGTATGAGATTCAAAAGGAACTTAACTGTGTTACTGCGTACACGTGTTGATAAGGTTTTTCCATTTGTTTTGGTGAATGGTTTGTCTAGAGCTTGTATTGTTCCTAGTTTTAATAGTGTGCTTTTATGTCTTGATTTCTGTAGAGTAAATCCTAGCTGTATAATTGGATTGAATTTACATGCTAACTGTATGTGGGACATGAAGTGCTTGACTTGAAAGAAGCGCAGTGAGAATAAAGATACTGTTCTTGCCTTGAATTTCTCAGTTTAAAAAAAATGTGTAGAATCTTGAACAGGAATAAGTGTGAAGGGTCTTGTATGTAAATTGAAAAAAGATGGGGGAGGGGGAATAAAGTGACGTAATAAAAATGGGAGATATGTGGTTTACTTGTCTATCTACAGCAGATTCACAAAAATAACTTTAAAGCTTTTTATACATGAAAACCGCTAACTAATTTTTAAGGGAAAATATGGAAGTACCAGTTATATGAATGTCTTGCATGTTTTAAGCTTTGAGTTCAGTGTTGTGCAAATGGCCAAGGATGAAAAACACTGAGATGAATTAATATTCTAAGAAGATTTTAATATTCATGAATGTAGGGTGGGGTCACTGGATGTTTCTTCTATGGTGGTGGTGTGAAATCATTCTGTAGAACTTGATTTTTGTGGCTGAGTACAGCAACCGTATACAGCATACACACCTCATGTTGTTGTAAGTACGAACCAGCTGATCTTAACATCGCTAGCCTTTCATTAAACCAGAGAGAATCCAG